ACAGAAAAACATAAAGACTTCTTCCTGAAGTTTCAAGGTGAAGAGGAAAGTAGTATTCTTCAACTACCTGAACAACCTCAGAGGCTAGAGCTTTCAAAGGAGCCTGTGGGAATAAGAAGCCCAGTGTTGTTGAGTTTCAAAGGCATTTCCTTAATCTTTTTTGACACTCTTTTCCTAAACTAATATTTCTCAGAATCAAAGAATGGCCATTATTACAAAGCCATAATAAGTATCACTGCTTATCAGTATAGCTGTAACTTCTGAATTGGCAATTGTGTGGATTTTCAGGAGCTTCAAACTTGTGATTAATTTCATTTATTTTAGATATCTGCTTTAGGATGACATTTATCACATACTACATCTACCTATTTTTCCCCTTGGACTATAAAGAGGACCTGGAGTGTCAAGTTCAATTAGCTGTCCCTCCCTGTACATATCTACAGTGGATTAAAAAATTCCCAGCTCTCACGCCTAGGACATGAAAGGCATTTTGTGCTATTACTTCAAATGATACATAGGTACCTTTAAACATATTTCTAAATGACGTAGGAGGACAAGAGATTTCCAAAATAAGTGTATACCCCTAAATCATAAGGGATTTTTGAAAATTCTCTCTATTAGTAACAGTGGTGTCTTACATAAAACCGTTGTCTAAAGAGTAATATTTACTGTAATACATTGAAATGCACATCTTGCAATTATTTCCAAAGAGAGTTGCATGATTTATTCTGAGCTTACAAATACATTCCTGTGCATGCATTTAATACATAAGATGTCTGAAAATCACACATAAGAATTTTTGTATGTGGGAAAATTAGTGACATAGTTATGGCTTTTAGGCCTGCAAGTTTTTAAAGAAAAGTTGTGTAAACATAAGAGAGAAAATGCTATCACAGATTTACCAGCATGGGGTATTTGGGAATGAAAGAGGCATAAGGCTGACATGCACCTCACAATCGAACAAATGCTAGATAGAAAATTGTTGGAAAATGGCTTACTGTATAATCCATTGGCAAATAATATTTGCATTATACGGTTTTGGATAATTCATAGAGTGAAAAGACCCAGAGGAACCAGTCAATATAAATTTTCCATCGCAAACTGCAGCTGCAAAAAAAAAAAAAATGAACATTTGTCAAAATGCCATTTGAAAAATAGAAGTAGAGACAAAACGAGGGTGACCTGAGCTATTGGCTTACATGTCTTACTGAGCAAAGGCTTTTTAAGCTGCAATGGGGAGAAAAACGCACTACCAGCTTGCTCCTATTTCTAATTCCTATGACTATTTGATCCCAGAGTACCATAGGGGAAGAAAAGTAGAACGGATAATTCACTTTTAAGTTAAAGACAATACAACTATTTCCATACTTACTGTCTTTCATTTTACTTTTTACATTTCTAAGGAAGCAGGATCTTGCCTTAATAGTTCCTAACTACTGCTAATTTAAATCAGGAAGCTATGTTTGCACTGTCAAAACCAATTTGATATTACATGAGTAAAAGCAAGGAGGGATATGGCTGACCATTGCTATCTCTACTTTTATGAACTTCCTAGTTCTTTGCCTTACATATTACTAAGTACTCAAAGAAATAATTATGTATTCCAAGCTTCATGCCAGCTATTGAGTTCATTCATCGAAAAATCTCATCCACCATTTTATATTTTTAAAAGGCTTTTATTAGTTTTTTTCAGTATTGCTATTCCATTTTACGTAGGTTCTTAATTTTAAAAATCAATGATTAAAAAATCTGTATTTTTAAACCTCAGCAAGGTTGGACATGTTAAATTTATTCAGGCAGACACTGAAGCACTATTGAGGTCTTTGCTGCATCCTCACTGAACATTATAGTAAGATTCTGTCTGAGGATAGTTATTCTTCACCGTTTCAGAAAGTATCATAGAGGATAAATAAGGATAAAATCAGTCCCATACATGATTATCCGGAGAGGTAAGGACAAGTTCATCAATTTGAGGCAGATAATCAGAAATTAGATAGAGTTTTTCATTAACATCAGAAATAAAATCATACCTATAATGGCTATTCAAATTGTGCATAATCAATCATATTGAAAATTAAATGGAAGTTTTATTGAACGTAGTCCTCTTCTGGGAAATGATAATATAAAAGGATAAATTGGGACTCTTTGTCTGCTCATTTTAAAAATGCAAATTTCTTTCCGACTACCACTGCAACAAACATAACATGGAACATGAAAACAAGCTTTGTTTCCATCAGGCTCAGGTCTATGCTAAAAATAAAGATTGTGCAGGAAGAACTTAACTAGTGACATTACTTCTAATGCATAAGCTGGAACAAAATCATGTTCCCTTTGCAGTTCTTATGGACTTTGGGAGGAAAATAGAGCACATCCTTTTAAATACATAATGAAAATAGGTCCATAACAGGGATAATTACTGTTCTGCAAAGCCTTTTTATCAGAACAAAGTAGAGCTTCAGAGTTGAGTATTGGTATAGAAACTTTTTCTCTCCGTTTGAACTCATGTATTTTCTATTCTATAACCGTTTGACTGAAATAAGAGTAGTCCGATTTTTTTGATCACTGGGCAGAGAAAACATTACAAATACCTTTCTAAAGTTAATATTTATATTACATTCTAAAATAGCAGAATGAAAGAAGAAATCAAGACAGTAAATGGAGACATTAAAAAAAAATCATTTATCTAGTACCCAACAGCCTACTCTTCATCTTATACCAGAATAAATCCCTGGATGTATTCGTGGTATCAGTTTCAGGTGTCAGCACACATACTTCCACATGAAATCACCAAAAAGGAAAGCAATGTGTAGGAGGAACCCAGGGAAGCACCAGAAACAGTAAGAGATACCATGAGCACAAAGCGCAAAGCAGCTGACCAGCACTAGGTAGTCAATGGAAATGGCAGCAAATGATAATGTGAAACAAGTCTCTGCTCTGTGCCATTATTAGTGTGCAAAGAATACATGAAAGAATGGATCTCTATGAAAATTTCTGAGGAAAGTGATCACCATGTTACTTATAAAATGTGCAAAAGAGTGGTACACTTAGCAAGTAGTTGACAAGACTTGTCCTATTAAAAAGTTTGTGCTACAAACTAGAAAGTTTATAGCACTGACAATGATAAAAAAGATATAACATAGCCTTCTAATTAAATTAATGATAAAAATTAGCTCTCTTCCACAATTAATTTCTATTCTTCTTATTTTCTGCAGTTTGTTTCTTCTTATCATTTCTTATGAGACATTGAGTGACTTGAAACCAGACCAAAAGATTGAAGAAAAATGTGCTCATCCCTGGCCTAAAAACTTGGCACCTCAGGAATTAGCATGAGGAATTGGTCCTATTTCTCTGAAGATCCTGATGTTGCTCCCAGTGCTTTCTTGTTGCAGGGAGCAGGCAGCTGTGGTCAGAAGCTGGCACCTCACAGGTGTGAGTACATTTCTGCCTTCCCCTGGAGCCCTCAGAAAAGTTTCAGTTGCACTCTTAATGACATAGGAGAAGTCTTTTGTAGGATGGTTTTCATGGCTTTCCCAACATGCATCCTTCCCTGCCCACTTCTATTTATTTACATTGTGTACAGAGCACATTTAGATAATGTAAGCCTATTATCCTTGAATTCAAGGGAGAAGCTCCTTAAACTAGAAAAATGTCAGATCAAGCCCATACATTTCAACTGATGTGTGGGCTTCACGCAGGCTTCGTTCAATTGCCTTTTCTCTGCCAATGGCAGTACATTACTTGCCAGCTTACATATGGTTAATCTTTCACAGTACTGTAGCGATGCTGTGAGGTAGTCAATCACAAAATGTCACCCTAGATAATTATATAGATAGGTAATAACTGGAGCCTGTAAATAGAACTGCCTCCTAGGTTCAGCCTCCAGCCTCCCTTCCCTTACACTTGTGTGCTACATGGCTGCTTTTCAGCAACATTGGCCACTATTAATAGATGCTGTTCTGACTTTCCACATTTCTCTGGAGACCCTTTCACTGAAATTGCTAACTGTACTGCTGCAATGGCTTCTTGTAACTGCATTCCAATGCAGAGTCAGAAAGAAACCTTTCAAGATAATTTTAATCAACAAAAACAAAAAATAAAGGTATTCTGTTGCCTGAATCTCTGCTGAGAATCTTATAAATTTCATTGAACTCTATTTAAGGCAGAAAGAGATCTTCTATCCTATATTTTAAAACCACTAACATATATTCAACTCTGAAGAACTAGAGGGAATAATAATCAAGACAGAAAAAGCAAACTGAGTTGTTTAAAGGACAGCAATTCTGTATTCATTTTGATGAGATGCATACTACTGCTTTCTACATTAAAAGGATCTGCACTCTTTTTTAGCTATATCCACAAAAAGCCCAAACAAAACCAAAAAAATTCCAAATCAAAAAGCACATCCCAAAACAACAATAGCATGATGGCATAAAAGAATGACTGAATAACTCTTTGGGGTTGGGCTGCCTCAACACTTACAGTGGAACAAAGATCTAGCTGAAGCTACTTTAGGAACTTCTGATTCCCTGAACTGTATGGTGAACTGCTCAGAGCCCACTGTTGTTATGATATGGCAGGATGCAGCCACTACAACAAATAGGATGTGTTTTGATGGATATTCTACCTAAGTATTTTGACAGATGTTTTACCCAAACGGTTAAACTAAGTGTTAGAGCCTTCCTTCCCTTCTGAGTTGGTTGCACTCAAAAAAATGCCAGTAACTGACAGGTTTGCAATTTACCTTCTTTCTCAAGAAAACTCTACTTCTGGCAGAAAGTGTTAGCATGTTACCATCCTTCAGTGTCAGGCCTGGAGTGAGTATATTTAAATTCTTTTAAAAACCTTGCTCTTTTGTTTCCTTGTTTTTAAACCAGAGTCCAGCACTGTACATGTTTTTGAAAGCTCAGACTGATCTGCCACCGTCATTATTCCCAGGAAAGCTTAGAAGAAAATTCCCACAGAACGAAAATAAGCTTTCCAGATTCCTCCTGGCCCACTGGTGCCTAATTCACTGGTTTATATTCCCAGGATATAAAACTACTCAGTTAAAAACCAAATAGGTCTCAAGTTTGTACAATTTTCTCATCATCATCTTGCACCTTTCACTGTGGTGCCAGCAACTCAAATGTTTGTGTTATAGTATTATACTTGCCCTGGCTACAAAATCCTGCCGCACTAAGTTAGGTGGTGTGGAGACATGAGAGGGCAGGTGTCCCTTACTGTGACCCTTACCTTCCGATTCAGAAGGTAGAAGAAATCCCAGAAAACTACTTTTCTGATAGAGTAGTAACTACGTTATGAAAAAGGTGCCACATTGATCTAAATTTGTTCCCATGGAAACAAAAAGAAACTCCCTATTGCCTTCAATATGAACTCTTTTAGGCTCTCTTTAAAATCCTCACCAATGTCTAATTATTTCTCTAAGGGCAAATATTGACTGTCATTTAATTTATTTTATATATTTAATTAAGAAAATATATAACCTTTTCTAAAATGAAAAGTACTTTCAATATACCCTTAATTTAGAGAGTATGCTTTTAGTTAAAACATAGGGGATTTTAGCATCAAAAGCTAAGCAGGTGTTTTATAGCTAACATTGCACTTAGCAACTTTAAAATAGGCTCTTGTATGTTTGCTTATTTCCTGCCTAGTTTTTCTACCCAGGAGGCTAAAAGCTATTAATCCAATATCGTTCCTCATGATAGATTAGGGAGAATACCTTTATAGCCGCTCTCTTTATGAAAACATATTCTCAGATACAATATTCATATATCTGAGTATATTTGTATCTTAGGAAAAGTTGTTTGTAAAGTGTTTTGTACGATGATATTCTTAGTCATGCTACAGGTTGGAGCTTAGTTTTAGTGAGGGAAGGTTATCAAGAGAAAACTGATTGTCATTTATTTTATAACAAAATTGCCAACCTAATGCTGCTTGCAGAGCAGAAGATAGCACATTGAGAAAAAGTAACAAGCATTGGAACAGAGTAGGTGTGATACCTTCATGATTCTAAAATATTTATGGACATATTGATGATATAAATAATTATTTGTATGATTAGACCAATTCTAATGTATTTAAGGAAGACAGAAGAGAGAGCTGTGGTTTTGCAAACCCTGTCTAAGCTTTCTAAACATGATGACAAGACTCTCTGACGCTCGAATAATATCAGCTTAAGGTTGCATGTCACTATCAAAAAAGAAACTTCTCTCCTGGCTTCAGATATGACGTTAGGTGATTTCTGATGCTGGGTAATGTGACTTCATATCTGTATAGGTTCATATTTTCATTTATTTGGATAGAACATTATTTGATATTACTAGCATACAACTTCATAAAGAGTTTCCATATTTACATATTATTTTATATTAATATAGTCAGCTTCATGACTGACTGATCATTATGACATATCATAATGATCTATCTTCATTATTTGAGGTTAGGATTATTTATTAATATGAATTTTTATGAAAATTGTTTCCATTTACAAGATAAAGATTATAACACTATCCTTAATCATTCTTGTGATTATTTTCCATAGACTTCATTTTCATTGTGCCGTTTAATCTATTGACAAGTTTAAGTATGTTTAGAAAATTGCATGACATTAGTTTACATTCTTACCACATCTTTTTTCAGATTCATCTGAACCATCTGGGCAGTTCAGGACTCCATCACAAAATAAATCTTTTTCTATACAGGTTGCACCATCAGCACAAAGTTCAGCAAGAGGTAGGCACTCATCTGAAATAAGGACAACAGCAATAACAACACAGCAGTAATACAGTTACACTGCAATGAAAACTGGACTTACTTTTGATTACTCCAGCACAAATGAAATCAACCACTCTATTGTCTTGCATAAAACTGCATTTTTAGAAAGCTTAAGTGAAATATCACATACTAAAAAGAGAAATTTGGCACAGAGTTGAGAAAGTAATGAGAAGTGACTTATATTTTTAAATTAAATTTTATGTAAGTTTATAAGAAAATTAGGAAAATACTATTTTACACATAAAAATGAATTTTTCCAATTTCTTATACTTGACTAACATGAGAAACTTCTTGGTTTAAATAACAGTGAAAAATCTGTCGGTTTAGTTGAATCAAATGCAATTCAATTTTTTAACCTCAACGCTTACATCAAAATGTCAAACTTTATAATGATAAATAATCCTATTATTGACCAGCCTTCTTAAAACCCTAAAGCCTTTAAGCCTGGCTTTGGAAATACCAGAAATCACTAGGGAGAAATACCCTATTGATTTTCAGATTAAATTAAATTTCAGATTAAATTTGTAAGGTAAGACCAATTTTCAGTGGAAAGTATCCATGGGTAGAGCCTTACATTTGTGGAATCATAATAACAGCATTTCCCTAGAGCACAGGCATGCATCCACACAGAATATGCTGTAGGTCAGGTTCTTAAATATCTGTAGAACTGAAGTAGGTTGTATTGAAGTGACCAAAATCACTCAGCTAAAATAAGCTTTGGATAAGCACTAAAACTCTTGAACTTTTCAATAAATATTAGAGAAGCTATTCACATAGCTCTCTTTATATAACTTTTGCTATTTTAGTAAATGCTCCCAGGTAAAGGTCAAATTTTCTTAAACAAGAAGCAAAAATCTTAATTTGCAAAACTGATCTTGTAGTCTCTTAGTATTTTTATATATTTTCCATAGAGCTTTAATTCCTGTAATCAGATTGAGTAATTCTATGCATAATATTCAGTATAACTGACAGAGAAAAAGATTAAAATTTATTTGAATGTATTGTAGTATTTCAAAGGGCTTTACAAAACATTTTCGGTGTTAGCAATACAGATAGTTTAAAGCAAAGAGCTTTTGTATTCAACTGATAGTTGGACCAAACCAAAAATATTTTACTGAAGTATTAGAGGTGCTACAGCACATGAATTGCCACAGATAAACAGAGAGGAGATTCAGAACAAAAACTCTGCCAATCATCTATGAATATGTTTAGCACAAGCTCAATATGCAAGAAAACGTTTAAAGAGGACTTGATCAATTCTAGTTTTATTCTTCTGTTCAGAAAACTAAGCAGCGCTGCCATCTAATGGTTATAAAGAAATTAACACTTTCTAGTGAAATGTTGACTTTCCTTCAAAAAAGTAAATTACCCTAAATTGCAGTATTACCAATGGTGTTCCTACTAAAAGATGGTGCTAAATACATTAGACCTTTTTGAAAATGCTTATGAATGTCTCGTATATTTCGCTATTTAAGGAGGCTAAGAAGTTTTCAAACATACAAATTGCATCGGTTTTCCAACCATCAGAACTCTAATGAGAGTGTATTATCTGTGTCGCATGTTTTCTAAAATCCCTCAGAAATAATGGGGAGTAAAAATTAGCACTCAGTATGAGTATCTGTATATATAACTATATATATTCCATATATATCATGTTCATAGATGGCATATGCTTAGAAGTCCCCTCTCTCTGAGGGGGACTTATTTGTCAAATGAAAGGAACACCTATGCATTATGCATTTCTAGGAAGAGGATGCAAGAACTGGCATAAGAACAGAATATATAGAAATGCTGAAAGTCTAAGATCTCAGATTGCTTCATATAACCTCCCTGCTTCTTCCCATAGGAAAGTTACCTACCTGAAGTTGTTAGTAACTTGCTTGTGGTGAGTTGTCCTGAAGCTGGGTAAACACAACCCAAGGTTAGAATATTACTGCTTGCTGTATAGGATCCCCTCTGCAGTTGCTTGCACAGAACTAAGCAGTAGCTAGTCTACTGTTAAAAAATCTGCATTATTTGATGTATCCCAAAAATCCCAGTTTAGGAAATGATATGGTAATGCCAGCCCGAGTATCTTGATCCTGAAGGTCAAATTTCAAACATGAGAAAAATGATGTGGCACCCAAGTGTATTTTCAGTCTCTTTATTTTAGATCTAATCTCTTTTAATAACTTCAATAGACTTTTTTTTTTCCTATTAAAATAATAACAATGCTTTTTTGTCTTCCCATGATACGAAAAAGTTCTGACCTGTAGTTGGTGTCAGGGAGCTTGTAATTAGATTTATGGGATCTGTTGAAACAAGAAGTTATAAGCACTTCAGTATTAGAACTGAAATGTATATATACATTTATATATACAACATTGCCCAGCCAATCAGTTACTGCAGAATGAGGTGAAGAATCTCAAACTCATCCAGTATTTGTATGTTTACATATAGGCATAGGTACAAATGTTTGTATCTACATTTACACATATACAAATGCATAGGTACCCCTGAGGTTCCCAGCTTCCTCAAAGTCTTTATTCTGCTCTGTGCATTAGCATGCCTCTGCACTATTTTATTTACTGTATTAAGACTCAAACACTTAAATATGATGATGTCCTCCACTGAAAACGATTCCCATGCTATTACAGTTAATGGAGCCTCTTCCTTAGCCTATAACATGAAGAACTGGAAGTGGGAGACATAGTAATGCCATCTCTGTGGTTTACCATCTACTAGCATCGCTGAAAGAAGTTGCTGACCATTGGCCATCACAGACCATTATTTCTGTTAGATGTTACCACTCTCCCAGATCTAGTAATGGAGAAACTTGCATTAAGCTAAGGTAGGCCGTTTTATATTAAGTGGATTAATGAGCATTATATGTTAGCAAATTTGAAGAGACAGTTCCTTTTGCAGAAAGATGGGAAAGCCCAGTGAGAGGTGCAGAGATACAGCTGGATGAACTACTCTCACAAAACTATATTCAAAGAGAGGTATCATTTATAGCCTCTGAGAAGTTATCAAAGCATTTTATCCATACCTATCTACCTATCTACCTTTATCCATACCTATCTGCCTTCTAATGGGTCATTATAATATTTTAGAGAATGAACTACTCAGTGACCCTAGAATAAGGATGTATGCATGACTAGGCTGTGCTAATATAACAATTATGCGATCAGGATGCTACACCTTGAAGGCTGTTGAGGAAAAACAGGCTTGTTACAGGGGTTCCCAAAAGTGCACACACAAGTTGATAGCAGAACCCAGGAAAGCAAAAGCACAGGACGACAATAGAAGCATCAGGGCTATAAACACAAATCACAAATGGTCAGTTACTGGAGGAACTCATTAAGGAATTTTTGAACTGGATAAAGCTGAAAACAAGCAGCCAGCGTATGTAAACATACCACATCTAATAAAACCTGATATCGCATAGCCTTTGGACTGATAAAGAAAGAGCAAGTAAGCAGATAGTGTTAGCAAACATATAAAAATGACCCCAAGCAGACCCAAGAGCAAGGAGGAAGGGATCCCCACCAACATTATTCCCATTCCAACCTGGGGTGCTCACAACTCAGAACTCCCTCCCCATTCCTCTCCCCTCCCACTCTGCCCCATTTCTTCTTGAGAATGATTAGCAACATTGACCTTAGGACACAGAAAGGCATTGCAAGGACAAGTATATTACCAGAGAAAGAGATAGGTAGGAGAAAATGTGTATATTATCAGTTTTAATTGTATCACTATTGGGAACAAGCTGTCATAATTGGACACTTTGGACTATACATGCCAGTATCCCTGTAATTAGATTAATAATAATTTCTTTACTTACATAAATTGCATGACGTGTTTGGTCTGATACACCACCCTTAAGAATAATGGTAATTTGTATGTGGTAAGTGTACTTCAGTGTAGTGCTACAAAGCACCTACTGTATTTTTCAGCTGCCTGACTTACTTTCAGCAGGTTTGTACTCAGTGAATTTGTGAAACCAAGAAGCTTTGTCTGCATCCTATCCTACTGTCATGAGACTTCCAGTGATAGTGGAACGAAAGTCCATCAACATTGCTCAACATATCAGTAGCTGCAGCACAAGGGTAGGACTCCCAAACTCATCTACCCATCTGAATCTTAATAAAACTTCAGCTTGTAGTCACAAGCTGGTTGACAGAGATTCAACTTTTGTTTTGAACCTCTAAGTAAGCTCTTAAAGCTTTGATAGTCTTCAGACTGCTGGTTTCTCAAACGGTCAGAAGTGATGAAGTGCAGTGGAAATGTCACTTAATGAACCCTTAGCAGTCAAGTCCCAGCAGTCGAGGCAGCTATGCTAATTTACACCAGCTGAACAGGAAGTCTTCTATTTTTTCACGTTGTATTGACAACAAAAAATAATTTCTGTTTTATTAAAGATACTAACCTGATGAAGTTAAAGGCAGCTTTGTAGTAAGATTTTCAGCAGCCTCTGGAAGAAAGTAAGTTCATTATAAGTTCTCTTTATAATGCAGTCTAGAGTTTTATACTGCTGAGAGAAAGGAAGGTAAAAAAAAAAAAATAGTTGTGACTCTTTCTTTTTGAATCACTAGCAGTGTCCTCCTTCTCTCCTTTTGACCATCTCACCCTGTTTCCAGTTTTTTCCTCAAGCTCTATGACCATTCAAAGGAGGAATGGTCTACATTAATCCTTTTCTATCCTCAATCCCTATTCATTCTCCTGCATGTAAAATATCTTTATCTGGGAAATCTCTCTCTGTAACACAGGGCATATCTTTCTAAGCATACAGATGACACTTTTTATACTATAGAGCGTTTTCAGAGCACCTATGTCATATAGAACAGTATTTAGATCAGATAATGAGTTAAAATTAACCTAGGATGATTTGCGAGAAAAAAAAAAATCTTTTTGTCACTATGGAAACTATTCTCAGTCAAGTCACACTCCTATGGGTCTTAGTTCCCCCCTCCGTAGAATGGAAATGAGACTTCTCTTGCAGAGCATATTGAAATATAGGAAGCAAAAATACTACATATGTTATGTTAGTTTGTTGTTATTATGTGATTGTTAATTAGTTCTGCTTATTTTATTGCAGCACTCCTGATGGAATGGACAGATGATGTCTCATTTTAAAGGAGACATTCCAATGATGCACAACAAGAAAGTCTGACTACTTCAAAGTTCACCAGTAGATATACAACCTTTTAAAAAGCTCTTCATAATTTTCTTTAATAGTATTTTTGAGGTTTAATGAGCAATTACTTTCCACAGTGACGTGCAGTTACTCAGAACAACTTCTTATAGATGGTGCAAGTAGTAAAGAGAAATAAAGATGTCAAGATTCTGAATTCAGCCTTTGAATATTTGAAATACTTAGCAAGAAATGCACCTTTTAGAATAGAGTAAGAGACATTACACACCAGATGTCCCAGTCCTCTTAAGGCAATCTACTTAACAGTATCTCCAGCAGGTCTTCAAATGTCAGCTAATCAACTTCCACTTCAAAGGATTCAAATTACTGTTTATCCTCTTCCTCCCCGAAGGCCTGTTTTGAAGCTTACCGAAGTCAAAGGAAAAGTTCCCATTGATTTTGCTGAGCTTCCACTTAACCTTTGATAAATTTTCCAGTACTTGCATATTATCATCACATTTGTATATTTACAGAACTTAAAACCACCTAGTCTTTAAAGCCATATTACCTGTTTCCCATTTACATATTGCTTAAGCATTAGAGAAATACAAACTCAGTTCCTTGGGTATAATTCTCCGGGGGCCACATTCCTGTATCCATTTTTTTTTTCTTGCTCATATCTTTCCCATAAATGAATCCTCACTCACTGGGAGATCAAATACTTTTCCTTTTTCTTTAGCAAAACAGAAAGATAATTGCCTTTACTTAGGAAACAACACAGCTGGGTCTTAACTTCATCAGTTAGAGGGATAAAGAAATTAAAAATGTTAAGCTTCATAAAAGAGGTGAAATTGAATACTTTTCACTGGGAAATAACTACTTTGTCCTTTTATTCCCTTCTTAGTGGACATATGCTAAGCTGACTCACACTTTTTAGTTGACTAGTTTGTAAATGGCTTTCTTCTGTTGATAGTGAAAGTTCTTCTGCAATGGTGAAAGGAGAACATCCATGAGGGTAAGTAACAAACCCTTTGCTGGTTAGGAGCCATAGTGTTCTTCACACAAACTATAGCTCTCAAGATTTAAAGAGAGAAAAATGTTTATTAGCGTTACCTGTGACTTGTATGCTGTTCACATCAACTTTCAAAGTCTGGGTAAGGCTAGTTTTATTTGCTTCTATACCCAAAACCAGCTCATTTTTTGTTTTCTCAGCAGGTACCCACTGGGTAAAATAAAGGCTGAAGATCACAACAGCACTAGCAATATAAAGCATCAGAGAAGATAGTTAGTTAAGCAAGATTATTAAGTGAATCTGATATTTATCATCTAGACAGAATTTTGCAAAAGCTCTAAGTATCATAACATGTTGGCTAGCCAACACAACACATAGAAATGCCTCTTAATTTTCAGAAAAGGCAGGAAGAAGCAATTTTTCTTTCTTTTTCTCCTCTTATTTTACTTAGTTAAAAAAACAAATGAACAAACAAATAAACAAATCCCAAACCCTAAAACCCACTGATATCAACTGCTGCAGTGGAGCTGTATTTGAATAAACTAAAGGAGAAGTAAGTGTATTGATTATTGAACCAGTCCCCTAGTTTAAGCCCTAAAATATTACTGGTAAGCCATGAAATGTTCGTGTTATTATAGTAGCATATAAACCGACCACTTTGTAAATCAAACATCTGTAACAATCTGTAGATTCTACATCTGTGAGAATCTCTTGTGTGGTTACCTAGATTCTCATACGGAAACGGTAAGAGTTGAAACCATAGATCTTTTGAAATCGGTGATTGTACTATTTTTAACTTCTAAGGGACCTCAATTTTATCTAGAATATTGTTTCCTTGCTCTCTCCCATCATTTCTAGCTCCAACTATTATATTTTATATTTGTAGCTAGATTATGGTACTGTCAAAATATGAGTTATGCTTGCTGAAGAGGAGAAAGTTTTTCTCCATTTACTTAAATTTAGGTGCAATCTTTTTTTACTCTTAAGCATTTATACCACCACCCAATTGCTACTAACTCAGCAATGCTTTTTGATAAGGAATGATTAATCCTCCCATTGTGCTGAGTACAGTTTGCAATATATTGAAAAACTCTCCTCTTTAATTTCTTCCATGTTTCTGATAATTTCCAGGCCATGCTCAGTAAACAAAAGCTTTTACTGCTATCTTTGTGACTCAGGGAGTTCCAAGGGTGAAATAACAAGCAGATTGCCCAAACAGGTAAATATTTTTTTAATGAAGAGAGTCAACTATAAAATAATTTCTGGGACAAAGTAATACTTCAAGTATTTTCACAGTAGAAAGGAAGACAGATCCTTTCTGATGTATTAAAAGTCAGATCCAAAATTCACTGAAATTAGCTTTTCTGTAACTTTTATGCTCTTTTTCTCACGATATAGAGGTTGTATCAGTATGACCAAATATAGATGTTTACAGTGCAGCTATCTAGATTCACTTTGTTGTTGATGGAAAGAAATAAGCTGTTCTTTGGTATAATAGATCCTCTCCTAAAAAAGGCATCCAAAATAGACCTGATGAGAAAACCGGAAAGTAACTATTTTTCTCTATTGCTTACGAAGAGAGTCTGGAGCAGCTAGCTCAGATATGTCTACATTTTTTGATGAGAAGTTTTAAAATCTGGTGAGATAAAATCCATTTTATTTGCAGAAAACAAAATAGTACATCTATCCAATAGTGCATCCATCTCATAGGGACAAAAGTCTGGAAGGAATCTACTCCCACACGGCCTACTCTATTCCCTTGATGTTAAAAACAACTTCACAAAGTGATAATACTCCCTCTTTCTAACTAATTAGGTTTTTGCCCCTTCTCTTCCAATCAAAAGACTACTCTGATTCAAATCTGCTTCTCATTTTCCACACACGTGTATTCTTACTTTGCTTATATCTAATGTTCTTTTGCCAGCATTCTCAACTGAAATTGAGAATTGACATTTCTTTTGAATATTTATCCACTTAACGTTTTCACAGAAGGCATTCATATAATCTTTTCATCCTTCTTTTTCTAGGTTAAACAAATCAATGTCTTCTAGTTTGTTCTCCATTCCCTGATCATCCCAGTAACCCTCTCTGCACCTGTTTCAGTTGGAACAAATTGTCTTTCTTGAACAGGGGACATCAAAATTGTACACAGTAACTCTGACTGGTTCTCAGTAAAAATATGCATCATTAATTAATATATTTACTAAGTAGCATTAATGTTTACCTCTTTCTCTGTATCCTTTTGCCTTTTTACAGCTAGTTCACATTAGTGAATCACAGTTATGCAGAAAGGGTGGCTTGTATATATAGAATTTCCTACTTCTCTCGTATTTTCCATAGCTTAAGCTGTTTACTAACATAATCAGTTGTCATGTAATGAAGCTCATGGCCTTGGGCATAGGGCAACTAATTTTTTCATTCATTCCTCAAGGTCTTTCAGTGCTTCCAAAGTCCTGATCCTTCCTTGTTTTGCTACTGCCTACCATACTATGTCATCAGATCTTTCTTTAGTGTACGTACCTTTTCAAATCTTAAATTATTAATGATAATATCAAGTGAGATTAACCCTGAGCCTGAGCAGCATAAACAATGTCAGCACATAGTACTATCCTTTCCTTTCTAGCTAGTTTCTTACTCATCTCACTGTCCTTGTACCTTTCTGACTTTTCTTTCCAAACTGACAGCACCAGGGACTCTTACATTTTCTTTTGTGCTAATCTTAAAGGATGTTTTTGGAGAAAAGGTATGCTTTGAAGCGTGCTTTGTATGCTTTTCGGAGAGACCTATCCAATCTCAGCCATATTTCTTCATCCATTCATTGTCCAATAGCAGAACATTCCAAATTAATAGAATAATTATCTCTTGCCCACAGATAAAAATTACCCAATTTCAGACTCCTTGGAGCTTTCAGGACCTTCTTCGTATTTCCTGTAGTGAGGGAAAAAATAGCATATGATTCACCTAGAGTTTACAATAACATGGATGGGATGGAAGTATGTTCTGAAACTGTTTTGTAATGGGAGATAGAATACTATCTACACTTGATTTGCTGAATCAGAATCTTATCTAGAACAGTGCAGATGGGATTAATGCCATGTCATTCACTGTATTTATTGGACTTTTTTGCCATCTGGTCTTCAGCAAGACAACTGATATAACGAGATATTGAAAAATGATGTCATACCAGCTTTAATAAATGAAGAATGTCTTACTGTGCCTCTTTAGGATACACAGGGTGCAGCTTTACCTGGTGTTAAATGACAGCCCCACTTGCTCAAGGGATATGAATTCAGTGGGGTCTGCGGCTGTACAAACAACAGTGCACTTCCATGCATCTCAACTTATGCCAGAAGAAAATTTGGACTTCGATCCTGAACTTTCTTGAATCTGATAAGGACTGACAGTCCTGCAGATGTGGCACAGGTAATAAATCTTATTTTAGAAAAAAACACTTTTTTAGCATTTCTGTCAAATATGAATGTTTTGTGACTAGGTCCAGTGGCTAGGCTAGTATTCAGTTTTACTGTTCTGGGCAAGGAATGGATGTATTGAAGTTTGAAAAGGAAGTTTGTCTGGGAAACGCAGTGGTGCCAAACTTCCCACAGCAGCACTTGAAAAAAGCAGGAGGAATAATATAGGAATTTACGAAGGATCTCTTTAAAAGTAAAGTATTTGCAACTATTCCTGAAAGAAATAGCTAAATGAGGATTTTTTTACATTTATTTGAAAAGTTTAATTAAACTATACCTACTTGAACTGTAAAATTTCACATCTCTCAAATTCATTTTTCAGATGACTTGCTTGAAAGATTTCTTGTATCTATACAGAAAAAAAAAATCTTGGACCAACAGAATAATTAAAAATACACCTAGCTGCATGTTGCAGTCATGTCTTTAATATTCACAAATTCTTCCTCCTCAAATCTAGACTATGCAAGTCAATCTTTTTCTCTGATGCTTCACTAATCTTCACATATAACAATATACTGAGTTCTGACCAGGCTTAGTTCCTAAAATATCTTATTTTGGAAAGAGAAAAAAGGTATCAACAGCAAACCATGTTAGGAAATTAATGCAGCTAACATACACCTATCACATACTCTTGAACTAATCCGATCAGTAGGTTCTTACCAATTGTTCAACATCAAAGGCAAGGACTTTGAAATCAGCTGATGATCTGTCTTGCAATCCAGGACTGAATGATATCCCAGACAGTATTTTAAATGTACCCATGTAGCCATGAATATTTCCATCTGCTTCAGCTGGATTATTAAAAATAAAATGTTTGAATTATATAGAAATATATTCAATACACTGCTAAATTTTATTACACACATATCATCAATATAGTAACTATTAGCTTTCTGTTTTCCTTTCTAATCAGAGCTGCTTTGCCTAGTGCTGATTTTAAAAAGTGTTTGATGATTTTCATCAGCTAGAAGGACAATATTTCCAACTGTAAACATATTCTTACGAATGCTATTTGCCCTTGGTTCTCACTACTTTCAATACTGTGTTAAACACTGGACTTGCCAGGAACGCTGTGAAAGAGACAATGGCTAAAGGGGACAATGATAAGTCAAGCTATTTGTAACACACAGGGGACAAATGAATGTAGGAGGGATCATGGCTACTGAATTTTGAGATTTTTGTTTGTTGTGGATTTTAAGTAGCTACAACTACTACTTCATATTTTCTATATTAAAAGCTGTATATCTTTTATATAAACGTACATTATTTTTGAAGGCAGCACTGACGACACTACTTATGTCAGTCTAGTTAAACTATTTTTGAGCTGATCTTTCTTTTACCAGTGTATATATGAAATGCTGGGAGAATATATGAGGAAACTAGATAATTGGTCCCTATTGTAAATTTAATCTTGACTTTTAACAAGCTACAACATGTGAGATATGCTTGAAACAATTTATTAAACATCAAAAGTAGTTCTCCACTGTATATAACACTTCGGAAATTTTCAGATAAAACTTGAATTAATGTGGTTGATAGAAAACGCCCTTTGCTAACCATTTGCCCTACCTGTGATATTTTTTAGGTTGTGATCGAAGGCAGTGAGAGATAAAATGAGTTTTAGTACAAAAGCAGGCAACTAAAAAACACTACAATAAACAGATTGTGAATGAGGGTACGGGATCTTTGTGTCAGCCTAGTAACATCAGCTTCCTGGTATCAGCTGGTAACATTAGCCCATTGTAAGTTCCTCAAAGGCCAAAAGCCTTACAATTGCAAATCTATGTAAACAAAGCTTTCTAAATAGTAAAGTTTTTTTTCCTTTTGTATGTCAAATATAATTCTTTTTAAAGGGTGCTTTAAAATTATTATTTGTACATGATGAAATTCCTACATAGGCTTCTTCTAAAACCCAACTAAGCCTTTCAATTCAAAGCTTTTCTGTACCTAGATGTAATGATACATCATTACAGATAGGCTCATTTTCTTTTATTAGAATATGTTTGTGTTCTACTGACAGAAGAATAAAAGTAAATAAGGAGACTGGTTTTAAAATCCAGCACATGAAAGAACAGCAACTGAAAGAATAAATAGCAGCATTCTGATAAAACAAGATTTTTATATGTGCCTTACAGCTAGTTTAGTCCTTATATTTTTTAGTACGAACAAGTATGAACTTTTGGTTAATGAAGGCATCAGTAAATTTAGTGTCTCAGAATCATTTTTTTCTGCTACTAGGATTGGTAGATTAAAAAAATACATTTTTTGAACTTTTTGCCTAGCCTATTTTCCTCACCTCATTTCAAATTGTCTTTTTGCTTTTAGCAATGATGCCTCCATAGATACTGATGCATTCCTTCACAATCAAAAATCTATATCCATGTAAACAAAAGTTGCTCCCAGTATCAGTGATAATAATAAGCATTTGGTCAAACTCTAAAGGCATTTCAAGTTAGTGTTGTTCCATTCTTTTCATTTTTAAAAATTGGGTACACTTTTCTACTTTTGTTATGCTACTTAAGTCCCAAAATTTACTCATTTATTCTCTTATCTGTCAACTCCTCTAAATCTTATTTTCCCTTGATTTTACTGTTTTGGGAGAAATATAGTATTGTAATTCGTGAATTTATAGTTCTTACATTATATTCTTGAAATCTTTTTTTGACTAAAATCATTGAGAAAAGAATTTACATTTTGGGAAATGTGGGTATTTTGAAATGTGTAGAACAAAGACAAAAAAAGATGTTATATAACATCAAGATGCCAACTGCTCATGATTTAATCAACAATTAATCAGTAAGTTCTTTAAACCAAAATTTTAATTTTCAGTGGAAAATCATCCTACTTAGATTTTTTTAATTTAACTTACCTCCAATATCAGTAGCTTGATTGTATGACATCCTGAGCATTGACTACATATTGAGAATGAACTTTAAGTAAAGTTGACTATATAACACAGGATCTCTCTCAGAGTAATATTTCACTTAAAAATGATCTTTTAAAAAAGAAAAGATTCCAAAAGATGGAATTCCAAGATTCTCCAAGACACACCTAAAACTCCTCACAGAATTCAGTGGATTATCAATGTCTTTTTGAGTCAAATCTTACACATTGAGGAAAAAAAGGCACAATTCAGAAGCAATTCAGAATGTTATGCTCTCCATTTAATGAACTCACTGAATTGTCAAAAGTTTTAGAGCTTGGATTGTATTCCAAGGATCTCTCCCAATGTCTAAGACATGAAAAGTCTTTTCTTTGACTTCAGCAGGCTTGAAATCATGTTTTAAGTACTTATATTCTTGCTTATTTTATTTACATCTATGTCCAGAGGAGAAGGGGATGAGAGTGTAAAAAAAAATCCCAAACATAAGAAGTATATAATGAAATCTGAAAAATACAATGACAAAGTCTGAAAAAGTCTGAACTTCTACTGAAGAACTCCTGAGAAGGTTAAAAGCTGACCACTTACCTTGTTCTAACCTCTGGATTAGTAGCCATGAAAGTGCAATCAGTCCAGCACAAACACACACAAAAACTGTGAGCAGAGAAGCAAAAAAAATTTCGTAGTAACTGAGAGGAACATATTTCTTATTAAATGATTTTTGTAGCTTCATTTCTGTCTTGAAAGTTGATATCAAATAAGAACTGACAAAAAAAAACACAAATAACCTGAGAAAGGAAGGTAATAATCCACAAGAACTGATATTTATAGGAGACGTCTGTAAATTAATTACATCATAAATCTTCATTGACATTGGTTTTTACAGCACTCCTGAACAGTCATATTCATGCACAAGATATGTGAGTATGAACAAAAAGGGACACTGAAGATTAAGTCCTTAGATTAAAAAAAAAAAAAAAAGGAAAAACCCAGAAATGTAAGACTGATCATTGATTTGCATTATTTTCTGTCATTTGGTGACTTTAAGTGAAAATTAATGTGAAAGATTGCTGTTGGATTTACTCTTTCTACTATTTTGTCACTAATTCTTCATACATGATCTTCATTATGAGAACGACAGTGAAAGCTCTCTCTTTCATCCTTTTTTATCTGCTTAAAATTTGTCTTAAAAAGTAACCGAATATGTATAGGAAATGCTGCCCAATGTTCAGCATGGGACTGATTCAAAATCTGTGACAGATGGTAGAGAAATTTCAGTCTATCCAGACTCTAGCTGAGACTTCAGCCTGCTCCTCAGTGGACTTCGTGTTATGCTCTAAAACTACATCAGAGGAAAACAAAGGGTCTAAATACTCATATGAATAAAGGGTTTTAATACTTACATGGATCTGAGTTATTTTTATCTGTTACCTACATTTTACTTAGCAACAAAATAACAGATTTTTTTTTTGGGGGGGGGGGTGGGGAGGAACATGTCAGAAAAGAAAACAGAGCTCTATTGCCCAAACTTACTTGTCCCCTTGTACATACCTGCATGTATACACATACACTTATTTATATTTGTGTGTGTGTGTACGTATATATGTCATACACACAAAAGGAGTTCTTACTCTAGTTCATCCAATATCATGACTCAGAGACCTCATTCCATTTGCAGGATACAGACCAAGTTTATTCTTTCTTTATAACTCAAGATGATCAGGCTACACTGAGTTTTACTGGTAGGACTCAGTTCAGCTGAAGGCTGAATATGTCCTTAAAATAAGAAAGCACAATCCTGGAAGGCCTTGATAACTTTAAGTAAATCATTCTTGCTAGTAAGGGGAAATACTACTGAATTTCTTTAATTGTGTTATGGCAATAGATTCAATTGAGGATACTACTGTCAGCCCAGGATTTTTGAATGTGATTTGGAGTACTTTAAATTTGATAAATTCTCTTGGAAATGCCTTCAAAGGTTCCATTTCTCAAAGACCAGGCAAAGAACTGTTATATCCTCCAAGATTCTTAATTTGGGTTTTTCCTGTTTCTTTTCAATTTCTACACTCTCCCCTCCCACCAATTTTCCGGTAGCCAGAGCCTCTCCGTTTTAAAGACTGACTGAGATAAGTTTCCCTTTCCATTTACAAGCATGAATAAGGCTGATTTGCTCAGATTCTTCATTTCAAAAGGGAGGGCTGAGGGATGTGATACATCTTCTGGTTCAGAGTTAAAACAGTGATTCACAGGACATGAAACGTAGACTTAGTATGATTTTGCTCTTTTGGATTTGATTTGTTCAAAAGTTTTGATAGATTAAATTTGTATCAAAAGGCTTTGGACTGGATGACACATTGTTTGCTCGTGTTGCCTTTACTGTATTACGGAAGCAGCACTGGCTATCTGCATCACTAACTTTTTCAGGGACTTGTCTTCTCATGGCATACTTAAGTCTGGCAAGAAAATATAGAATAAATATACATTTTGTAATGTCTTCTCAGATTAGTTCTCAAGATACGTGATAAAAGAAGCGCACCTTACACAGATTAAATTTTTATTGCTGAATTATCCTCCCCTGTTGAACACTTTGCTGACCTATGACACGGTAAACTCTAACCTTAAGTGATTATTCAGCAATAACTTGAATACACCCTCCTTTGAAGTGATTTCAGTTTCTAGATTTCTTTGACCATCCACTTTATCACAAAAGTTTAGAATACTTCTGAATATCTCATTTTGCTCATGCAGAAAAAAAATGTTAGGTTATTCCATGTGTAGTCCATGCTGCGTGAGACAATACTAGAAACTGTTTTGTTCCTAATCAGATCTATTCTATCATAAAGTTGAGTTTTATGCAAACGAGTAAAGACTTTGGATTCCTCTGCTATATTTTTCGTGCTGTAACTATCCATATCATTGTCATTGTACATCATTAGTAGAAGGTAAATACCCTCTTGAGAAATGCAAACTTGCTAAGGGGGCATTCTGTACTGTCAAATAGGTTGTTAATAAAAACATTTAAAAGTATTTTGCCCCAGTATCTATCCCCAAAGAAAAAAATTAGTAACCAGCCACCAGTTGGACTTCACACCTACTCACTGAGCTTGATGGTTTGGCCAGTTTTCCACCTACCTTTTAGTCCACTCAGCCCACCCAGTCAGTTTGGCTACAGGAATGTTAAAATGCCTCACCCAGGGCAAGGTAAACAATGTCCACTGCTCTCCCCTCACCCACACAACCAGTCATCCCATCATTAAAGGCAATCAGGTTGCACAGCCAGAATTTGCCCTTGGGAAAACCATGTTGGCTGTTCCCAATCACCTTCTTGCCCTTCCAGTGTAGTAAAATGGTTTCCAGGAAGTCTTTCTCTACACTATTCCTTGGGACTTTGCTAGGGTGAAGACACACTGACCTGTAGTTTCCTGGATCCTCTCTCTTGCCTTTCTTAAACAGGTGAAAAAGTTCTCAGCCACATAATGAATACTGAAAAATTTAAAGGCATGCATCTTATAATTTGATAATTCACAATCAGAATACTCAACAAAGCCCTTTTGCCTGCTAAGTAGTTGCCTGTTTGATTTTTGCATCATCTTTTTCTTCTGTGAAATCTCTTGAATGATTATAACCAAATAAAGAGCCAAATCAGGAAGGGTGGGGGTAACAAAATCGAATACAAATATTAATCTAACTAAAGCTGGAAAAAGCATAGAAATTGATTTAGGTAGTTGAAAATGACAGGTTTGTGCACACAAAGATATACTTACTGGTGCAAATTGCACAATCTTTTTTTTTCCCCAGAAATTAAAATTGGTAGTATAGCACAATCATAAAGAATTCTATTCACAGTAATGTCTCTTAATGACAAATAAACCATTTAACTGCAAACTTTCCTATAGTCGTTGACTTCACCCGCTTTTGCTCTTCCTTTTTCATTCCTTGTTCAGTTACTTGTCTTCTTGTTCAGTCTCCACCTGCACTCCAGACCTACATTTTCTCTATTGAGCATCACTCTACAGCCTTTTTTAATCCCACTTCCACTTCCTCTACAGATTGATAGGATTGAAAGTTTTATTTAGTTGGTTTGCTAAGTGCTTAAACTGACAAAAATAACATGATCCAGTCACGAAAACAGTGAACATCAATCAGTGCAACTACCAAATTAGAGATACTTTTCCTTCATATTGCACGTTGAGAGTACTCATAGGTGACAAGCAGCCTGCTGTACAGAAATTATTCACTGCAGAAAATAATATCAAATTAAAATAATAAACTAGAATTGTCAGTTCTATTGACAAACAATTTGCAGATAGGAAATTAGTGTAATCAGTTGCATGTTATTTTCTGAGTTTTAGTTTTACGATACCTTTTGTGAACTGTGCAATAAAACAATAATACCACGATATAAAAATAGTTTAAATGGTACAAAGGCAAATAATCGGTGTCCAAAACCAGGCAAGTATAGCAACTTATTTAAGTATTGATAACTGATAGTTTTCCAAAACCGTTACTGTAGTTAAACTAGTGAAATCTGAGATAAGGCCATCCTGACAAATGCCATTGATGGGATAAAAGCCTAATATATCCACATTTTATTTGGTTTATATTGGATACATATCTGCAGCTCCACAAGATTTATAGCCTTATTGTGCTGCTTTTATTTTCTTGTTTAATCACGCTCCAGCAGAGGGCAAAAAGCCTGCTGACACAGAAAGGAGGGAGTGTTCTGTCCAGATAATTCTTCTAATACCCAGTCTATCATAAACATACCTAAAGCCTGACATTCTATTAACAGATATATGTCTGTGGGAAAATGTTTTGGTTCCCCACACAGATTTGTCCTCCATTATCAAAATGAAGTAAAATTCAGCTTTCTTATGGCAACTGTTTTCAGTTATCTAAGTGATTTGTCCCTTTTGCTACACAGACTTCCATAGAGGGAGGTAGAAAACTAAATCAGCTATCTGCTGTGGAAGTGCAGAAGCACACCGTTACCTTACCTTTACTGTTACATAAAAAATGGAAATGTATAAGGGAACTCATATAGAAGTAAAATTTCTTAGTAATGCAATATTTTTAAATTCAAAATCTGAAAATTACTCACCTTTAACTCCTCCAACTGCAGGTATTGAGGGGGAAGAATATGTGTGAACTCTATGTAAGGATTAGGTCAGTCTACCAACTATGAAACTTTATATGAAAAACACGGCCCTCATTTACAAAGTAAGTTATCAATATTTTTGGTACTTAAAATATTTCTCTTGTCTGTGTAATCCATTGGCTTAATATTGCTTGGCTATGAGTGGCATAGCATATATGTGCTATTCTCTCTTCAATCATCTCTCATAATGTGATATTCTCTCTTCAATCATCTTGTCAAGTATATATGACCCAGCAAGTCTTGGCTTAGTAATAGAACCATGATTTAGCGGACAACTACATAGTCTTTGTATGCATACTCTTTTCACCTATTTCCAGGATAATGCACTTAGGAGGCTGCTTCTTCTTCTAGGATGATATTTTTTTATCCTGAGTTTCTTAGACAAGGTCACCCTTTACAAATTTTTAAAAGTACATTCAGCATTCAAGATGTAAGTAACTGCTAATTTTCTTTTTTAAATTGGACTGGGGATGATGAAAAAGCTATGCTATAGGACACAAAAATGTCCAGCAATGACTGACCTAGTTCTGTGAGATGATCAGAATCAGCAGCTGGTTTTGGAAGACTTGTATTTC